AGAGAGAGAGAGAGAGAGAGAGAGAGAGAGAGAGAGAGAGAGAGAGAGAGAGAGAGAGAGAGGGATACAGTGACAGCTTAGAATGTATTGAAAGATACAGAGAATGTATGGTGTAATAACCTTGTATATTATTATATCTTATTAAAATCAATTACACACGTTGACTAGTTGTTTTCATAGCCGAACTTAAACACGGCGGTGTAGAAACTCGCTCTTCTCACCTTGTAGACTTTATGCATCTCAATAAGCATGTCAAACTTGGTGTACATTGCGTTGAGCATAGAGACGACCTCCATCGGTGTAATCTTACTGCAGATTTTCGTGAAACCGACTACGTCACTGAATAGTATCGTGACGTTAGTAAACACCTGTGAACTCAATAAAAGAATCACGCTAGAATATCACTTTACGCGTTTGAACAGAAACGCGGTGCAAGTAAGCATCTGTAAAAACAATAATGGAATCATGTTCGTATCGCTTTACGCCTAAACCGTGGTAAGAATGGCGGTGACGGAGGCGGCGGTGGTGGCGGTGGCGGCGGGGCGGTGGTGGCGGTGGTGGCAGCGGTGACGGCTGTGATGGTGGTCCTGCTACAACATATAACACCAGCTGTGAAAGGGCCCCTCTCCCCCACGTCTGTCTAAAATCGTTCATCGCTTCAATAGCCAATAAGAGACTACCATTAAAGCTTTTTCGTATAATAATTCGTCCCTTCACACTTCAGCTGACATTTTCTGTCTTCGAGTTTTTAACTTTCACGGTTTCAACAATCCATCTCAGTCCCATTGATCGAAATCGCTTCTATATGTGGAGCACAGTATAGTAAAAAAAAATGCGTCATGCGGAAAAGGAGATAAGCTATAATCGAGTAAATTACGAAACGTAAAAGCAAAAAAAGAATGGATGCAATTTCACGGTCGTAGTAAAGCCTTGGTCTTTAGAAGGCAAGTGTGTTTCATCGGTGCATTAAGAAAGGGCGCCGACATAAGAGACTGATCGCGTGCCGACCTCACATTCCTTCCTCCGCAGATTTTCAGCACGCCGCTGCAGTTTATCGTCAACGTTACCGTACGTTCGCATATAAATCGGCGTGATGATTTGTTGTTCAGTACATCAGCGTGTTGTAGTAAGCATTGCCGACTCTCTTCCGCGGTTTCTTCTCTCCTACACGTTTATCTAACCGCCGTGCGGCATCGAATTCTCGTCGGTTGTTATTAAGTTTGAAGCGTGAATCGATACGTGTGACCACAGTCACAGTCAGCCAGGCAGATGAGTAAATGCATCACGTTACCAATTATTATCAGCAACACACACACACACACACACACACACACACACACACACACACACACATTGCGTTATCATATTACGTCCACTACTGAAATCGATGATCGCTGTATAATTCCAGACTCTCTCGTCGAGGTCGCATCTCAGCTAGAGGAGAGAGGCTTGTATAGTATAATAATATGATGGATGCTGGTCCAACCATGAGCGATGCACGTAATATAATAATGTACGAACATGTCATGTGTGTAATATGATAATGCACTGCTGTCTACATCCGTGACTGAGGCTCATAAGGTCTATGTCCCCCAGGGTACTGCCGGAACGTACCCTGGTAACTATCTGATATGGTTAGGGTTAGGATTAGGGTTAGGGTTAGGGTTAGGGAGTAGGCGTATGCGACTCCCTAGACTCGTTAGTGGAGTAGGCGAGGTACGGTCCGGCATATTAGATAGTACCAGGGTACGTTCCGGCATTACCCTGGGGGACATAGACCCTCTCAGCGTGACTGAGCTTAGGTCGCGTAGTCTGGTAGTGACGTCACGTCACGTCATGTCGCGCTGGTGGTCACGTCACGTCACGTCGCGCTGGTGGTCACGTCACGTCACGTCACGTCGCGCTGGTGATCACGTCAACGCTTGTTTGACAACGGAATATATTTGCGCAAAAAATGCAACCATTTGTACACTATGCATCCGAAGAGCTAAACACAGCGAAAACGTTTGTGCGGAAATAAAACGCATTCTGTTTTCATACAAACAGTTATATATATATATATATATGCATATAATACATATAATATTATTACATTGCGTCTGTATTGTGTTAGCGTACCATGTTATCCATGTTAAGTATGTGCGGACTTGACTGCTAGGGTGCGCACAACTGAATTCAAGCCAATTGGAAAGAGTACGCGGTAGTAATAACTAACAGCTTTTAACAAAAATTTCAAAGCCTGGGAGATTATGCACGAACAAGGGGGCCGTGTATCACGTCTTTGTTCAAACCGACGGGGGATTAATGGAATCCGAAAAAAATCTTATGATCGGACATATGCTGCAGCCATGTGGCGGCACCGGTTAAATGCGAATCGGAATTTCCGAGTGGGTTTTCCTCGGTTATCCTCGAGTAAGTCGCGTCTAAATTGAGACAAGGGAATGTTGTGATTATATCGTGATTTTATTGAAGCACTCTCCTCCCCCTGCTTGCGTCGTAATTCTCCGGAGAAATTCACGTACAACGCAACTGCGTCTAGGTTTTGCGAATGTACTAAAAATAAAGTACCGCTGAGGATATGGACACATGAGTGGCTCTGCCTGTTTCTATGTAGTAAGTGTGAACATTTATATCGCTCTACGCTTTTACAAAAGATGCGATTCCAGATAACCTGCCGATTTCGACGTGTGTATCGCATAAGACTAACCTAGGAAGCCAGAAACACGACGCTCGATCTCTGATTTTAGTGAAACCGGCCAAAGCTGGCCGCCGATAGATGGCGTACCTCGCAAGTGGCCACGGCCGTCTCCCCAGTGCGAAGTCTGTCTGCCACTTGTTTCGGAATCATCTGATATAGGAGCTCGTCCGTCCTCTTCATCTCTGCGTCCAACTGCATCATGCTAGCCTCCAATTTCCTACTCTTCTTTTGCTCCTACAGGAAGGAATGTCAGAGATGCCAATTCCGAGAATAACTATACGAATTGGTTTAACATTATGCCTACTAATTTATACGATGGTTGACTATGTTTAAAGCCAGACGACATAAAGAAAAAACAACAAAACGACTGCAAACTCGTTCGATCGTTGCGCGTCGTGTGATTGAACTGCAAATCGAATTCAGGCGCGTGCTCTCTTAACATCAGTTGAATTTTAATGAGTGGGAATCGATTTGCAGTCGACTATCTTTCTCTATTTGCATGCATGCTAATCTTGTGGAACACTGGCGACATTTGGGACGCGGTGGCGACTTTTGGCTAAAAAACATTCGGAGACAGATTCGTCTGGCTTTAAACATAGTCAACCATATTTTGGTATAGACATTAAATCACCTTTACAGTCATTTTAGCAGTCGTGCTTGCCAACTTGAAATTTACCTCTTAAATGTCGCGAAAGCTCGGCAAACTATCGAGGCGAAGTCTGTAGATGTTGGGAATGGTCGAGCACACACACACACACACACACACACACACACACACACGCGCTGTCTCTCTCTCTCTCGCTCATGAACATCTTCGTCGTCGGATTCGTC